CAACGCAAACCTCGCACCACCTTTCCGGTGCTGCTGCTGCTGCTGCTGCTGCTCCTGCGGCTGGACTCCAAACATGTTACTGCTACTGCTGATGGTGATGATGATGATGTTGATGATGATGATCTGGACTCTCACTACCACTGCTACCGATGCAAACCGCTGCTGCGGCTGCTGGACTTCAAAACCGCTGATACTGCTACTGCTACTGCCCTGGACTTGCTCTGTGTGGTGCAGTGAACAACTCGTCGGTTTTGAAACCCTACTTGAGTTCGGGTGGAGGAGGGGGGGGAGGGGGGGGAGAAAGGCGGGAGAAAGGAGGCGGGACGAAGGGAGGAGGGGGGAAGGGAGGGGGCGGGGGAGGGAAGGGAGGAGGGGGAGGGAAGGGAGGGGGCGGGGGAGGGGGTTCGAAGTCGAAGAAACGGCGAAGTGAAAGCAGCGACGATGACAGTGACTACTCCTGAGCTTGCAAGGGTGCGGGAGAGCGGGAGGAGGCGGGGCGTCCACATACCCCACCAGTGGTTTAGCACTACCTCACTCACGATGATGATGATGATGATGATGATGATGATGAAGACGAAGGAGGCGAACTGGAGAGGACGGACCGACATGGACCCGAGCTTGGAACCGATATTTGAGATCTGGATCCAGATCCGGATGCGGATCCGAATCCAGGTTTCGGATCGGAATTTTGTGGACATGGATTAGGATTTGAATCATGAGCTGAAGCACGAGGCAGCGGAAGAAGGGGCCATGGGTGGGCGGGCGGGTTTGTACGGACGTACATTGTACGGATATACGGACAGGCAACGCACCTGCAGTGACGAAGTTGGAAGAGGCAGGGCCAACGGTACGGCAGTGTAGGAAGTACGGGACGGCGCTCTATAGAACATAGCCAACGGCCGTTGGTGGCGGGACCGACAGACCGACCGACTAGACAGTAGGCGGTAGGTATGTTGCCAGACAGACATATAGACAGACATATAGACAGACAGGCAGGCAGACATTTGGCAAGAGCGACGGGCGGGAACCAGGCAGGCAGACAGCCCGGACGCGGGCAATCCAAGCGGACATCGGACAGACCGATAAACCGACGAACAGACGCGAGCGGTACTTGTCTGCAGGCAGCGGGGCGGAGGGGGGAGCTGTCAGGTTTGTGTGTGTGCTGGTGTGTGTGTATGTATGTATGTGCAGGTAGTTGCGAACCTGTTGGCTCAATCCAGTTATCGATTCAGCGGGGGGACCCTTGCTCCCCGCGAGGGGCACCCGGGGGGGGTGATGAGCTGGGGGGGGGACAGAGAAGATGAAGATGGAGAGGCGGGTGGCGGGTGGCGGGCGGGAGGGAAGGAGGGGTGAAGAAGTGGGAAAAAAACCCAAATGGAGACCCACCACCACCACCACCCCGAGGGAAAGGAAAGGGGGTGAAGGAAAGGAGGGGACGTGAGGGGGCTTACCGCCGCCGACCCCCACCCCCACCCCCCGGCCACCATCTTCCCTTCCCCCCTATTTCCCCCTCATCACCACCACCCCACCCCATCACGACCTGGGGAACCTCCTTTTTCCGCCTCCTTTTTCACATGCGCCAACACTTTCCCCCACAAGCCCCCCCAACAAACCCCCATCTTGCATTGTGTCTCCTCTCTCTCTCTCTCTCTCTGTCCCCCTCAGCCCCCCTCCCACTGCATCCCTTGATGGCGGGTTATTACTGTCTCGCCACCGAATCTACGAAGAAGAACGCCGTAGAGAGGAGGTCATATAGGCTTTGGACCCTAAGTAGCCCCTCTCAGATGCCTCATCACCCTCTCGTCTGTCCGTATGTCTGTCATCAATTGTGTCATTGAGAAGGCAGAGCGACAACACAGCGCTACCGTTACGTAAAACCATGTGTGGAGCGCGCGCAAAGCTGTGTGTATGTAAATGTATGTATGTATGTGTGTGTGTAACCCTTACGACATGTCTTGTGTGTGTGTGTGTGTGTGTGGCTCTGGTCTTCAAAACGGCCCCCATCACAAGTACTGCTATTGTTGTTGCTGCTGCTGTTGGTGTTGGTGTTGCTATTGTTGCTGTTCAGTCTCTCCTTGAAGCTCTGCCCCGGGTGTTGTTGTTGTTGTTGTTGTGTGTTTACCCCCCTCCTTACACACATACATACACAAGCACACCCTAGCCACCTCACCCAGAATCCCCCAGAGCCGATGTGTACCGGCACGTGTGCGTTCGTCTGTCTGTCTGTCTTCCGGTCCCGCCGTGGGTGGTGCAAGTTGGCGGGGGTTTGAAAGGCGTGAGCGTGCGCGCGCGCGCGTGTGTGTGTGTGTGTATATATGTGTGTTTGAATGAGCTGAGCCAGGTGGTGTAAGGGGGTGGTGGAGGTGGGGGCGTAATGCGCAACTTTATCGTAACGAGCGAGTGTGTGTGTGGTTGTTACTGTATCGAAATGGGCCAACACCACTTGGGGGGGGGGAAAAGAGTACATTGGGGGCTGCACTTATTGCCATCCATGAAATGTCTTGTCTGTGTTTGTTGATGGTGGTGGTGGTGGTGATGGTGATGGTAAGTAGTGGAACGAGTGTTCTAACCGACCGAGGGGCCCGGATGGACTACGAATCCACCAAGATGGTGGTGGTGGTGCGTGTGTACGTCTGTAGGTATTTATATGTGTACGTTTGCATTTGATACACCTCGGAAGTTGCGTAACCTATGGTGTGGTGGTTGGTGTGGTGGTTGGTGTGGTGGTTGATGTGGTGGTTGATGGTGTGGACGCAAAACCTCCAGGAGCTGTACCGATGACACACCGTGAGGAGGAGAGGGGGAGAGGGGGAGAGCGAAAGAGGGGGAGAGGGGGAGAGGGGGGGAGAGAAGGAGGAAGGGTCCGGTCAGATGCCGCGATGGGCTTTACCTGCATAGAGCTGGTGCTGGTGGCCGGCCGGCTGGACAGCACCGCAATCCTTTTCCGTCAATTCCTTCGGGGCTTCCTTACACTTTGGGGCTCTACCACCGTCCGCCGTGTAGACAGGGGGGGGTGGGGGCCGCTTTGTCTCGTTGTCTCTGTCCGCCTGCTTTCGTCCGTCTGTTTGTCTGTCTGTATGTATGCTCTTGCACATAGCCCGGGCGGTTAATAAGGGTTTTTGTTGGTTGATTAATTGATTAGTTGGTTGGTTGGGATTTCTGGGTGCGCGCGATAGTGTAGGAAAAGAGGACTTGCATGACGGATAGGTTTTAGGATTCACTGAATACATACATACATACAGAGATACATACGCACACGGGCTTCTGTGCCTTCGGAGGAGAGGGAGGAAAAGGAGGGGAAGGAGGGGGAGGCGGCTTGCAGCGGGTATAGCTGCGTCCATGCGCGGGAGGGGACCTAGCGATCCTCTGTACCTGCTTGTGGGTCGGTCGGCCTGTCTGTCTGTCTGTGTCTGGACAAGGTAAAGCACTGCCAGAAGCGCTTGTTTTCCCCTCTTTCCCCCCCCTTTCCCTCGAGGAGAGAAAAGGCGGTGTTGAGAACCTCAGAGAGAGAACAACGTCATCCATCCGCGCTCATCCACCGAAAAGATAAAAAAACGAAAACTATTTATGAATCAGACGGCCATAACTGACAGCTGCACAACCCCTAATCTGCCTGTGTGTGTGGGGTGTGTGTGTGGGGGGGGGGGGGGCGAAGACATCCATGGCAGCCAGCCGCCACTCAAGGGCTTGTACGACAAAATCCATCGACAGTTTTCAGCACTCGCAGGAGCTCCGTCCATATCCTACAAGCGCGGGGGCGGGGTTGTGTGAGCTGCTGTGAGGGGGGTTCGAGTCGTTGTTCGTTGTTTCGGTATTGGATGGTTAGGCGGCGCCTCTGTTCTGTAGAGGACTGGTTCTTTCCTTGCAGTGGCTTAGGGAGGATGTGTCTCTCTCTGTCTGTCTGTCTGTCTGTCTGTCTTTTTTCCATGTGTCTGTTGACCGGTCGCGAGCCCCCCGGTTTGTGCCCCGGCCCGTGTGTGTGTCGCGTCGTCGGGGTTTTGGGTGTGGCCGCGCGGTCGGGTCGTGGGCGGCGTGGGGGGCGCCTGCAGAGCGCGCTGCCTGTGGGCGGCTTGGCTGCGTTCTTTTGCGGCGTACGGGTCCTCCTTGGCAGCTGATCCCCGCTCCCCTTTGTCGCTCTCAACACAGCACATTCTGTAGCTCTGTTAGCTTCGGCAGCACAACGAGATTAGCGAGGTTGAGGGAGCGCTAAACATATTGTGGTTGTTAGCGCGAAGGACACTCCGTTGTCAAATCGCGGACCTCTGCTATAATACCGGATAATTGTTATTATGAGACGTTGGATGATGGAGCAAAAAATAACGTCTTACAAAAGAAGTCATGGGACTTCCAACCATCTGATCTAGAACAGGAAGGTAAAATGAGGATGAACAAAATTCGCACTCTTGTCGGCGACGAAAAGTTGTGTGAGAGCGGTTTAATGCGAAACAAGCAAAAGGAAGCATGGCGCGCGTAGGACGGGCAGCAAGCAAAGGGAGTTACGATGCAACTGACATGCAACTGACAACGACCCGAAGACCACTGTTCGACCGTGCACCCATAATACCCACAACCCATACCCACAACCCACACCTCAAGCTTGAGTGTACGAATATTGACGACGCTGTACGGCGTGAGCCAGCGCACCGTACTTAAATGTCCAGGAACACCACACCGGCATACACTCGGCATAGTCAGGGATGCACACTCACATGCAGATGTACATACATACAGATGTACACACACACGAGGCACATTTCAAACGCGGGCACGCCTTTCCAGGCCAGCTCCACTCATCACTGCTGTACCCTGCCCGTACGGCACGTGTATGTGTTTCCTTACACGTCTGTGTTTGCCATCCACCATCCATCGGCCGGGTAGTGAAACTTACTCTCCCTTCACCCCCCCCCCCTGAAAACCCCGGAGCATGATGGGCCGTACACGTCATTACCTGTCCGACACGCGTGTACGCCCGGGGGTATGGCCGTACACCTCACCCAGTATGTACGACGCCGCGTTGCCTGAGAACTGAGGAACTTGCAAGAAAGAGAGAAGATTCTTTCAACGCGGGCTCTCAGAATATTAACACACGCTCCCAGCGGCCCGGACGATGGTCTCGAGAGGGGTAGGTGGCGGCAGACCGGGAGGAGCAGCACGACAATACACACACGCATGTGACACGCGATTGTGAATCCTGCATGTCGTACCGGACTGCGATGCGAAGGAGGGGGGAGCACCTCGGGACGCGAGATGCGGCGAACATTACTACGTTGTCGCCGCGCATACCATCCTCAAGTACGACAAACGTGTGTCGCACACATGACACGCAAAGTGTTGCACATCACCTGCCGTACACGCACCGATGGTTCCCATCCTTGGCCTACAATTTGCGTTTCGGGCATACCCCAATAATCATCAAGAATCATCATCATCATCATCATCATCATGGCCATCGCCATCATCATCATCATCGTCCATACACAATGCAACATCACGATACCGTTTTCACCACCAAAGCATTCATGCCATCATCGTTAGCAGTGTCAAGCGCACGAGCGAGGAGGGGGAAAAAAGGCCTCCAGCGCACATGTCGTACCAGCAGCAGCAGCAGCAGCAGCAGCACCAGATTCAGACAGCAGACGCTGCAGAGACATGTACGGCACTCACCGGATGTCGGACATATGCAACTCGCATGCCCCATCAGGCATGTCGTACACACAACTTTTTGGCCGCAACTATTAAAGCTCCGGCTACATCCAACAAACAACTGCCGCTACTACTGCTCAGCACACACACACACACGCGCACACAAATAGGCGCCTTAGCGCCAGGCCGTACGGCATCCTACCTCCACATACCACTCCAGCGTGTTCCACCCGATTTTACTCAGCCCGCCCAGAAATAATTATCGTCGTACCTTATCTCAGCCGTACGGCAACAATCCCCATCTTACGGCATACCAACGCCGTACAGCGACAACCTGCATGCTACGGTCGTACCAGTACCGTACAGCCCCAACCTGCGTGTGCTTTCAAAAGTACAAGTCGGAAAACCGGCCACCCCAGGACACACATCTATCCTGTTCGGGTCGTACGTTCATTCGTACGCACATCGGTCCCGTACACATTGTCGAATGTCTCCAAAGCTATCACATACGACCATGTACGGCAACGTACGGAGGTGGTATCAAATGCTTTCTAGCATCGCACGGGTACAAAATACACACGTGTACACACACTCGCATGTAAATACATACAGACACACAGACACGGGGGCAGCCCCTCCGGACATCATTTACAGCGAAACGGTGCAAGCTCACACACATACATACATACACACAAACATGTTAAGGTGAGTGAGGGTAAGAGCCGGGGGGGGGGTGGACGAAGCCACCGCCGTGTGGCAGAAGCAGCGAACATGCGAATGATGACGACACACCTTCACGCACTACGTCGCGCACACACATACACACATATACACACACGTATACACATACACGCACACATACACACACGCGCGCGCCCCACGCAATAATACAAAACAACCCCCCAAAGCAGCACCGCCCCTCAACCTCCCCACCCCGCCTACATTTTCACGCTCGGAGACACGCCTGCACGCGGCACCAAAAAAACCTACGACACAAATCATATCCCGCGGTTCCGAAGTCTGCGCATGAGTAATTTGAAAGTTTGAAAGGTCATATCCCGGCACGGCAAGAGGGTCAGGTCAAAATCACCTCTAAGCGCCGCGCTATGTTTACAACGTATGTACGACATTCGGATGGCGCTCACAGAAATGAACAAGGCTGTCAAGTGAGAAAGAGAGAAATCAAACCTCCGCCTCGAACGTTTTGAGTCGCACGCGAACCAGGCACCACTCAGCATTCACTGGCAGTAGCTCCATGTATGTGCACATGCTGCTGCTACAGCCAATCAACCGTCACAACTACGGGATACCTGTCTATCTATAGCAGCCGTTTGTAGCCGCCGTACAGATCTCCGGAAGCGTAGTCCCTGGCACAGCATCCCGCCGACCTGCGTGCGTGCGTGTGTATGTGTATGTGTGAGGGGGCGGGGGGACGGGGGGGTGGGGAAACAGCCACTGGGTGCACACACGGTGTTTTCGTGACAGGGGTGACAGGGTATTGTTTAAACAAAAACGCTGGCGAGAACACGCACGCGTCGTGTCTGCTGAAATAGCACCGCAGCCCGAGGCAAACTGACAACCCTAAATAAAAATAAAAATAAAAATAAATTTAAATAAAAACAATCGTAAACCACCGTGAATCCAGCATCGTACTTACTTGTCGTACACCGCGTACTTGCAAGTGCCCAAGTAGCAGAACGTTTGCAAATTGGAGCAACGTGTACCGCGACGGAGCCCGATGCACATCTCCAAGTTGGGTCGGATGGTGCGCAAGTTGATGTTCAAATTGGTGGTCTTCAATACGCCCATTGTGGTGTTCCGCCCTGGGACAGCCCTCTTGTCAACGAAGCGAGACCACGCCGGCTCCCGACGAGTGCCCGGCTTGTCAGAGGACAAGAACCAGCCCGTGACCGAGGTCCAGCAGCCAGCATTGTTGGGCCCGGTGAGCCATTCAATCTTGCCAAGATCCTGTTTAGGCACGTCGCGTGTTTTCCAAAAAATCATCAAGAAAAATAATTAAATTGGTCAATGGGAGGACACTAAACATGCCACTGAGGCATTCGTGTACGAACGACACAGTACGACACAGAGTTCGAAGACACTGCTCCACGCAGGGAGGGGTTTCCCCCCCCCCTTGGTCCCCCTATACCGAAGGTCGATGTAACGGGTAGATCGTTGCCACTAACCAACAACTGAAAACCGTACAACTTCATGTCGTACCATGTCACAACAGCGGTTAGCGCTGCATGAGGACTGGTTCGCCGTGATCTTGAAGCAGTACCACGTGGACGAGAAGGAGTAGTACTTGCGCGAGTACGTCACCGTGTACGGCGTCTTGCCGAGTGCACGAGGCTCGCACTGGCAGTACGGGAACAAGTCTTGGGGAATGAAGGGGCACGGAGCGTTGGTGAAACCCGACTCGCAGATCGCCTCCAAACGGTCCGAAGTCACGAAGTACTCCAGCTGCGATTGTTTACACACCAAAGCGCCGCCTTCCGGGACTCGGATGCTGCTGATGTTGACCAGCCCGGCGATGTTTGACAGCCCGGAGTTGTCCAGAGCACGCGCCCACAGCGCCACGTCAGCGTTAGTCTGAAGAGCGGCGCACGCAACTGCGATGCTGGCGTTGGCGCGCTCGCACCTCAGCGGTACGGCAGGCGGAGCACCGAGTGACACGTCAGCAAGTACGGTGTTAGCCGCCTTGATCAGCTGTGCGCACTGGGTTGGACCCACGGGTCCATCCACGCGCGTCCACTGAAAGCAAAACTGTGGGAAGAGTTCGAATTGGGGGGATGTTGGGGGGGGAGGGGGAAATTATGTGTTTTGTGTATTGCTGGGTGCTGGGTTACCGGGGGGGGGGAGGGGTGTTTTGTGGTATGGGGGGTTTTGGAGACGGGTTTGGGGAGAGAGGTCTGACGGTTAGTAGGGCCTGTGGGGCATGGTGGGTAGGAGATGGGAGTACGTGGTGTGACTGTTGTGGTTGTGGTGGTTGGTCGCTCAATCAGCTTGATGTTAGTGAGCATGAGTGTATTGAGGATAGGGTGGTGGTGATGCCATAGCTTCGATGCCATAGCTTGAAGGCCAGGGGGAAAAGAGGCGACGGCGGCTGACGGCGGCAGTGACAGAGTCTAACTGACATTTGAGTCCATAGAACCAGACCGCCAACCATGTAACCAACAATGCAAAGATCTACTATCATGCAAACTGTGAACGGAAGGAAAGGGGGGTTGAGACACACCCCAAGCGGCGGCGGTTGAAAAATCTCGTTGTCGTACCTTAGTGCATGGCGGCGGCGGGCTGGGAGGCAAGGGGCTGGGCGGCTTGGGGCTTGGTGGCAGAGGGCTGGGCGGCATGGGGCTGGGGGGGTTAGGGCTTGGCGGGTTAGGGGAAGGAGGCGGCGGCGGCGGAGGTAGAGGCGGTGGAGGTGGCGACAGTAGAGAGCAGGCTTTGGTGAACGAACCCTGTACAGAAGCAAGCAATGAGAAAGGAAGCAGGACCTTTAAGCTTGCTCACACCCAATTGTTTTGTATCCAAATAAATCCTAAAAATTCAAACCTCAGCAAACGCATGTCGCCGATAGTTATGGAAATGGGAGAAGGAAGTGATCATTTTACGCCTAGTAAATATCCCGTCTGCTTCATAAATACTACCGTGCCACAGGAATGAAGTCATGCACATCAAAACTTGATGACGTGTAATAAAAATGTGTATGTGAATGCGTACGATGCCGATCCCCCCACCCAAACCAAATCTCCCTTGCCCCATGACACACATACACAAATCTTCCATCCGAGTTTACTTGGCCCCCTGTTTCCCCCCCCCCC